CAGTTTGCGTTGTCTGGAAGTAATATTTGTTCTACTTCAAATGGCTGATACAGTTTAACATCTTTAGGCCATGGTTCTTGAGCTAAAAGTAATAATAAATTTAAATACTCTAATAATTTTTATATTTATTGGCACTCTCTGCCCACTCATTCATTATTTGTGTAATTTGTATTTTGGGTTCTGGAGCCTGTCTTAAAATAAAATATATAAGATAAATAAAAAACATCATTACCTCCCAAGTGCACTTGAATATCCTCTAACAACGTCATGACCACAGTGTTATTTAAAATTATTCAAGAGTTTGAACGATTGATATTTAATAAAAATACTTCATGGATATTTAAAATATTAATTAGTAACTTACTTTTCTTGGATTGAATTTAACGTTATTTGTGGTTATGTTATGTCATAGATGTGTTATGTGTAATAATTAGAGACCAGTAATCGGAGAATATCCTATAGATTTCATAATTTCAATAACATACATAACAAATAGACATAAAAGACCACAACAAAAGATTCAAACAGGGTGTTTTTAAAATAAGTGGCAAGTTTGCAAGAGATAAGGCACTATACAACAAGAAAATTGTTTTTTGTATAATGAGTAGTTTTGATATATTTCTGACCAGGAATTTCAATGTTTTAACATCATAAATAAATGAAAACACATAGATAAATAATAAAATATACTTTAAAACAATATACATTTCTTTATAATACATTAAACAACAATATCTAATTTTTATTATTTAGAAAAAGCATGGAACCAATCATGACTCTTCTTCACAAGGCATTATTTGAATTTTACCACTTTGGGGGTAAAGAGGATGCCACCAATTCAAAATTTTTAAATCAATAACTGGATCTATAACACAAGTATTTTCAGTTTGAAGATTGTGAGTAGTACTTCTGATTGCAGAACCAAAGCCTAAATGCAATGAGTGATGGCAATAACCCTTGCTTAATGGTTGACTAACTGATGTTAAGGTCAGTCCTAACACAATTGGAATTGCAACAAAATTGGTACTTCTTACTTGTAGTACAGTACAATTTTCATCTGGATTAGCAGATATATCACCCAACACTTTAATCAAATTCAAATGGTTATAAGTTCCCTGACTACAATGAGGTGGTTTTATGAAGTCCTTTAATTTAAAGTAGTAAAACCAATCCTTTTTCTTCTTTTCATGCCACTGAAGTATGCACTGCTTATGTTTCAAAAGATTTGGATCGTTTTTTGTAATACCATTAAGATACAATAACCTTGATACAAATGGTGGATATACACAATAAAGGGCTCGAATCACAGTTGGTTTTAGTCCATAAACACGATTGATGCTGTCTGGCTGATAAACTTTAGGTAAGTTTTTAGCATTTTTACAAAATCTATCATAAAGTCTTCTCCAAAAGGCAACTGTTTTCACAACTTCATAAGAATGTCTACAAACTGCTGCAAAAACTGATATATCTTCTGGTCTAATATATTCTGACAATAAAAACCATAAGTCCAAAGGATAAACGTGACCTGTATTCTCTTTCATATTTTTATTATCGCTTGTGCTATTAGTTCTTGCTTTTGCAACCAAAGAGAAAGTCCCATCTTCATTTTCCTGGCTAATAAAATCAAAATTGCTGTCATATTCTTCCTTTTCGTCCCATGACTTCTCTTTTTCTATTGTGTGAAGCACAGAAATCACATTACTGACTAACTTCTTTGGCCTGTACACAGGTTTAACCGAATTAGCAAAGTCATTAATGGTTACATCTGCAATTATAGAGATCAATTAAAGATTTTCAGTGTAAATTATGAATGCTTACAAACCTGCAAGAGAGTTGTTCTTCAACTTATGCAACTTCGTTCTTGATTTGCTCATTACTGCACAGGATACAAACTAACAGCAAGTAAAGAATCCAATTACGGCCAAGTAAATAATAAATTATTAATGTTAACACCTACTGCAATTTTATTTTATCTTCATTCGGTTTTAAGTTTACAAAGTCGTAATTTCATAATATCATGAGAAGACATGAGTGATGAATTGTCTAGTAACTACAATTACCATTTGTAGATAAAAATACATAGAAATATTTCCTTTACGTCTTCACCACATTTTTAAATCGCTTTAAATTCTAATTTTTGTGAATGTGGTATTCAGCAAGAAATGAATTATCAAATTCGACATCAATTATTTCAGAACCAATGGTACTAGCCGTGTTTATTGTTTTTGCGCCAGGACTTGCTTCTAAATTCCCTTTAAGATAATCCTATGTTAGAGGAAAAAAAAATTAAAAGTAAACAGGTGAAATATATCCATTTGAAAACTTTTACCTCTTTTTGTAATACATTAATTAAAGTACCCATAACATGACTATGAATTTTCTGACAATGTTCTGTTAAATTTTTGTACTTCTTTACTATAATAGAAAGTCTTGGAGAAGGGAGTGGGGTCATAAGGATGGATAAAATGTGACCATATACAAGTGCATCTAATTCACTTGGTCTAAAATATACAACATGTTTCATGTTAATCTTGAAGAAAAGAAAAATATAAACTTTTTTCCTTGAAAACTGGAATTGCAATTATAATTTAAATCGTCTAAGACGTACAAACGAACTACGTCTCAAACTAACAGGTTTCTTATTGTTTATTTAAAATAATGTTGTATTAGTTGAAGCACTTGGGACTGAAAGTCGACAATAACAATGAAAAA